TAACCCAGCCTCTTCCCACCACCACCCCCAAAGCCTGACTCTGCCTCCCCCCCAGTGCCTGATCCCCCCTTCCCCGCCCACAAGCCACAGTACCTCTGCTGGGGTCCCAGGGCTAGTGGGTTTTGTAGACCCCCCTAGGCTCTAGGGTGGGGCCAATGCGGGGTTCAATGTGTGGGAGGGGGCTGTCAGGGAGCAGGATAGGGATGGGGATGCAGGGTCTGGGCAGGAGGTGTGGGGGGTGGGAAAGGGAGTAGGGGCGCAGAGTCTGGGTGGGAGGTTGGATGCAGGAGCGGGCTGAGGTGGGGTCCCGGGCAGGAGGTGTGGTGAGGTGTAAAAGGGCATGGGGTGCAGAGTCGGGGTGGGAGGTGGGGTGCAAAAGGGGGATGTGGCGGGAGGGCGGGTGCAGAGCAGGCTGAGGGTGGAGTTCTGGGCAGGAGGGGGGTGCAGGAGCAGGGTGAGGATGTAGGGTCTCAGCGGGAAGAGTATGGGGGTGATTACCTGGCTCCATGCATCCCATTGCTCTCAGCCCCCCCCCCATTGCTCCCATTGGCTGTGATTCTGGCAAGCAGTTTCCTGTGCTGCCCTTCCCCCAGCTGGGAGAAGGGAAGTATCACCACATGGAGACACTTCCTCCCCCATGGACCCAGCCTGCAAGGCTCTGGCTCCCTCCCCACACAGGGGGAAACTGGTGCTCCAACTACAGCAGGGAGGGAGCTGTAGAGCTGGAGCGTGGGCTCCCGGCGGCTGGGGAGGTGGGCGAGTCTGATCTCATGGCCCACCTGCAAGACGGTCATGGCCCACACTGTGAGAACCACTGACGTAGCGCCTCCCACAGCAATTTCACTTAATAAGTTGTTTAAGAAAAAGAAAAGTCAGTGATGGCAAGTGCAAAGCGCTACACTTTCAAATGCCCAACCTCAAAATGGGGTTTGACTAGCGAGCCAGCAGCACTGCTGAAAAGGGTCCTGAGTTACAGTCGATCACACACTGAATACGAGTCAGCAATGTGGGATCGTTGTGAAAAAGGCTAAAATCGTTGTGGGGTGTATTGCTAGGAGTGTCGGGGGCACGTAAGACTCGGGCGGGAACTGTCTCCCGCCGCTCAGAACAGTTGAGGCCTCTGTTGGAGAACTGTGTCCCATTTTAGCTGCCACATTTCAGAAAGATGGGGAGAAGCTGGAGAGACAGCAGAGGAGAGCAGCAGCAAAAACAATGAAAGGTTTCGCAAACCTGACCTCTAAGGAAAGGTTAAAAACGCTGGGCATGTTTTGTCTTGAGAAAATAAGGCTGAGGGGGGAATTGGCAACATGTTTCCAGGCTGCAAAGGGCTGTTATAAAGAGGACAGTTATCAGTTATTCTCCTTGTGCGCTGAAGGTGGGACGAGAAGGTAAGGCTTAATCTGCCGCAAAGGAGGCTTAGGTTAGAGATTAGGAAAATCTTTGTATGATAAGGTTCGTTAAGCTCTGGAACAGGCTTCAAAGGGGGTTGTGGAATCCCATCGCTGCCCAATTTGTTCTTAAAAACCTCCAGGGACCTCGCAGGGATGGTCTGGGTGTACTTGGTTCTGCTTCCCTGCAGGTGTTTCGAGTAGATGAGCTCTCAAGGTCCTTCTGAGCGCTTACGATTCTGTGAAAACTGCCGATAGGTTTATATTTTGTAGGAGGGCTATCACAGTGATAAAATGAAATTACAGCACCTCTGGTAACCCTGTAGTTCTCATCTGATGCACCGTTTCCTTGAGTGCTGAAGGAATGGTGTATCGTATGACCCGATGCAAGCCCAGAGACACGTGTCCGAATGACAGCTCTAGTGTTCCCACTTTTTTACTAAAGGAGAGCGGCTGACAAACTCCTTTTAGAGTATCAGAGACAGCAAAGCTGAAAAAATTAACAACCTAACGAGGAGTGCCCAACTGGCCAGGTTGGTAACAGTGAGGAAAAGCCTCAAACAAACGCACGGACAGGTGGAGGCACATTTCTAAAATATATCAATAGCTGTTTCAGATATTTGTGCGTCTGTCTGTCCGTGAGTCCGTCTGTCTGTCTGTCTGTGAGCCTGTTTGTTCACGAACTCCTCCTAAATGGTAAGAGCGAGGACCACCACACTCGATAAGCAGCTTCCCTCTCACCCTGACTCAAAACAAGGTATGGGGTTGGTTGTGCCAGGAAAATGGGACGTTCTGGGAATGGAACTGTTTTCCCAAACATGGAAAGGGAGGGACAGAACGAGGAGGGATACGATACTCCCAGTCACTAATGGGGACAGTGAGCACAGGGGACAGCTATACTTCACAGTGACCATTGGGGGGAGGCGCACGAGTAAGAAACTGGCCAGCTGGGGGCAGTATAGCAACAGAGTTGGCCCCAAAACAGAGTTGGCCCCACCCAGAAAGCCCCCTCCTCCAAAGAAAGATGAGGGCCAGGAACCATGCCTCAGCCCCAGACAGAATGCAGGCCTGCAAGTCGCAGAAGGCGGGGTGCTGCAGGCCAGGGCCAGCTCCTAGAGCCCTGCTCCCCTGCAGACAGGCTGCAGGCCATGGGGGAACTGTTGGAGGCAGGGGCCAGCCCCCAGCGCCTGTCCCCCCCCCCAGACAGCCTGCAGGCAAGAGGGGGGCACTGGAGGCTGGGGCTGCCCCTCCCAGACAGCCTGCAGGCCATTCATTTTATTTTCCCAAAACCAAAAATGAATTGAGCTAAGGACCCAAGCGACACCAGTTCAATCTTCTTGTAAGACATAAAAAGGAAAATATTCAATTGGTCTCTGAATCATCCCTCAGCAAAGTTAGCTCCCTGTTGACAGCACTGTCATTATCAATGCTTTGTGTTTTACGTAGCACGTCCATGTAGCAATTCATCAGGAGAGGTGGGATTAGAAACCAAAGCTCCTGTCTGCCAGAGCCGCGTCCAGTCCATCAAACCATGCTGCGTCTCAAACCGTCTTAACACATCTGTCCCCGAAAATCCAAGTTCCCCTCTCTCTCGGGTGGTGGTCCAGTTTGCTTCTGGTGCTGCTGCAACCTATCCTTCGAAGGAGCTGGACAGCGTTACTAACGCAACATCTGGCGTTTGGCTACCCCTCCAGTGTCATCGTTGAAACAATTGTGAGGCTTTGGCTAAAATTTGGAGCTGGCTCGAAGCAGCGATGCGAGGAAGCCTGGTAGAAGAAGAACTGAAGATAAGAAGCTAGCGGATTGCTGGTACAGTAGGTCCCAGCTGAATTCCCATCTCTGCCCAGAGTGCTGAGAATCGACAAGTCGATCAGTGACCAACGCAGCAATTTCTTGGCTCGGGGGCACATTATCCAAGGGGGACGCCTCCTCTGCTTGCTGTAGAGCAACAGTGGTGGTTAAGAAATGCTAGGATAATAGCTCTTTTGACCGGGCGTCCGGTTTTTGCTTTAAGTCGCGGCGGCGGGGGAGGGCTCCAAACGACATATCACAGAGCTGATTAACAAGGGGTCTTTGTCAGCTGTGGGGACACCTGCAGCTGTTTCGGCTTGCCTCTCCCAGGAGGGGTGGCTTTGTCGGAAAATAGTCTACAAAAGATGGAGCAAATTGAGCATAAAAGAAAAGCTTTTTCTGATTAAGTCACTGAATCGCCTTGAAATAAAGCTGTGTCATATCCCATTCTCCCTCAGGGCCATTTTGTGGTAACTCCTGACGCCTGAAAGGCCAGTCAGGTCATCCTCACTGAGCTGTCCTCTTGGAAAGGAATGTGCCGATTTTAAACCCTGCTCGGTTTTGTTTATTTTTAACTGGCATTCTCTTCCAGCACATCGCTGACAAACAGCGACTTGCCAGGGCAGCCAGCCGCCCTTGACTGATGGCTGCCAAGGAACAGGTGCCCTGAATGAAACATGGCTTTTTCAATCACTCCTTGTCACGCCGAAACAGTCAGCCACTGTCCTCGGAAGCATCAGCTCTGCATTTATGGTTCCCTTGCTGTCATTTTTATTTCAAGTGGTGCTCGTAGAATCACAGAACAGTAGAACTGGAAGCGACCTCTAGAGATCATCAAGTCCAGTCCCCTGCCCTCACAGCAGGACCAAGCGCTATCTAGACCATCCCTGACAGGCGTCTGTCTAACCTGTTCTTAAATATCTCCAGAGATGGAGATTCCACAACCTCCCTAGGCAATTTATTCCAGTGTTTAACCACCTCGACAGGTAGGAAGTTTTTCCTAATGTCCAACCTAAACCTCCCTTGCTGCAGTTTAAGCCCATTGCTTCTTCTCCTGTCCTCAGAGGCCAAGGAGAACAATTTTTCTCCCTCCTACTTGCAACACTCTTT